GCTCATTATAACTATTTTAAAAAGAAACACATCGAACATCATGTAGAAAGCACAGTAGTTTCATATTAAATTAAGTTTTAAATGAACCCCACGTCATTTGTTTTCAAGGTGACTCAAAGCAATCCTTCATCTCCCAAGTGCTGGAAGACCAGCTCCTGCTTTTGTTTTGTTGAGACCAGGCCTTTCTATGCAGCCCAGGTTCTCCCTGAACTCTTGCTTCTCCTGCCTCATCCTCCTGAAAAGCTGGGGTCCCAGGCCTGCGCCACCAGCCCAGCTTTACTGAGAGCTTTGGTGCTACTGTCCTACGATGTTGTCTGGGGTCTCAGGGGCTCACCCCTGAACTGACAACCATGACTACTCTGGTGGAGAAAGTCAGCAAAGGAGACAAGAGCTGGAGACCACCCTGGAGAACATGGCCCGGGCAAGAGTGAGGTGGTTCAGATGATGTGCAGACTGTGAAGACGGACAGAAGCTATGCTTTGACTTCCCTACCCCTGCAAGGCCTTCACCAACATTCGGAATGTGAATTCTACCAAGAGTGGGCCCAGTACCAGGCTCTGTCTCCTCTCTGCCTTTCTGTTACGCACACATATGCATGCACACATGCACACACGCCCCTGAATGGAAACAGAAACAAGCCTACCATCATCACCCCCGGCATCATCAACAACAAAGACCAGAACTGAACCTCCTACAGAGGCCGGAGACAGGAAGCAACACCAGGCCTCCTTCTCACAGCCAAGCTCTCTCGGGGGAGCCCCACAGTCCCACCGGTGCTGTGGCCCGCTCCTTCCAGCCTCTCCTGACACCAGGGCCTCAACAGCGCCTTTCTCTGAAGTCACTCAGCCTTTGTGCTCCTAGCTTTACCTAAAACCCAGTCTTTATGACACACTGTCAAACAGGCCAGTTTCTGAACCGGCAGCAGGCACACCAAACTCAGGAAAAAAGGTCAACGGGGTATGTCAAAAAGCGTAATTCTGCCTGGGACCAAGATCTGATGCATTAGATCTTGACAACTGAACCTTAAGAAACAACAGATGTGCACAAAGTTATGTCTCATGTGATATTGTTTTAATTGGTAAAAATATATTTAGGTTTTGTTTTATTATAAGCACAAATAGTTTGAATGAGGGAAAACTGATTGACCATAAACTCAAAATAGTTACTCAAGGTAAGGCTATTGGCCAGAAGTCTGGGAACTGGTGGGTGTGACCTAGTGGTGGGGTGGACCTCAGGAACCTCAGCAACATGGGTTCCAAACTGGAGAACCAGGTCTATTGTAATAATTCTGTAGTAATTTGAATAGAATTCAAGGGGAACCCTTAATGGATTCATGAAGGAGTAACTCAACTGTGGGTCCAGAGGCAAAGGAGATCACTCATGGCTAGGAGGCCCCTCCCTCGTCCTCAAAACAAAACCCCAGGGCGCTGAAAACAAGCTCTGGCCTAGCTTTCTTCCCTCCTCGCCTGCTCCGTTCTAAACTGTGAGATGAAAGAACCATCCTGAGATGTGGTATTGAAATATTTACAAAGTTTAATAAACATTAAACCAGCAGCTTACACCCATCCATTTGTGATTCTTCCTGAAACTTTTGAGATCTTAAGCCTAAGAAAGTCCCTATTTCCTTTACTGGGCACTTCTGGGGGGTGAAGCCTCTACCTGCAGGCTCAGGGTCCGCCTGCTGTTTACACTTACTAAAAGATGCTGATATTGACTTCTACCACTTCTTAAAAAATAATTCACAGGGCTGGAGAGACGGCTCAGCGGTTAAGAGCACTGACTGCTCTTGCAGAGGACCCGGGTTCGATTCCCAGCACCCACATGGCGGCTACTAACCGTCCTTAACTATTGGGAGCTAGTAATCCATTATGTACATAAGCTGTGGAAGGCTTGTTTACTGAGCTTGTGTTTTGCACACCAGTACCTAATCTGCCAAATCAGGAGGAATGTGTTTATATGGTGGAGCTCACAAAACAAGTATTTGACCGCTCCTTGACCCTCAGATACAGGTGGGAAAAACAGCTGTTGAAACCAATTGAGTTCTTCTGTATAAAAAGGCTGAGCTGAAATAAACTGGGGCGGCAGGCACTACTGTCAGCCCTCCCAAGTATCTTTTCTGTCTCTTGTTTTTTCTTTCAATCCTCACTCCCCTTTTCAGGTACTGTCCGTCTTGGCCGGCTAGCACCGGCACTAACTTCAGTTCCAGAGGAATCCGAAGCCCTCTTCTGACCTCCGTGGCATTGCACAACAGGAGCGCACTCACATACAGGCAGGCAATACACTCATACACATAAAATAAAAATAGTAAAATATTTAAAAAAAATTCACACTTTAACCAACTAGGACACAGTGTTCTAATTACTCTGTTGAAATCGCAGCAAAAGGCCAGCCGCTAACTTGCTTGACCGGAGTCCTCCCAGAGTCTCCCACTGACCTGGCTGCCTATGGACAGGCCAGCTCAGCAGCAAATCCATGACACCTCCCCTGCCCACGTGAAGCTCTATCTTTAGTTCTGCTCCAGGGTCCCTCCATCTCCCTGACTCTCTGCTCTGCCAAATGCAGGAAGTTCTCTGAGATCCCATTTTTGTCCTATGGAAGATGAGCCACCTTCCTGCCTCAGCTTGCCAGTGCTGCCTGCCTGTCGCTACCCCCTGTCTCAACGTCATGCCCACATCTGCTTGGCATCTCCACTCCACCACCACCTCAAACCCATTCTTTGAAACTGAACTCCTTACTGCCGTCCCAGAAAACCAGCTTTTCAACCGGAATTCCTTATTTCCGGTAAAGGCACACCCCCCTTCGAAACCAGATGCCATGAAGTCACTGCCTCATGTTGACTCTTCTCTCAAACGTTTCACGTATGTGCTCATTCCTGTTTCCAGTCAGCACCCTTGTATCGCAACATCAAGTCTGAAATCCCCCATGGTCCTGCCTCAAACCATGGCCAACTTTCTCACACTGCTATTCAAGATCCTCTCACACGCAGACGCAGGCCGGAGTGCAGCGGGCAGTGGTGAAGGCCGGCGTGAGTCTTCCCGGCAGGATGTTAAGAATCCTGATACCCACAGCTCAGACTAACCCCGTCTGTGTTACTATGCTTCCCAGAAAACCCTGGCCTGAGGCACAAGCACTTCCATTCATGAGGCTTGGACCGCAAGCAGTTCCAGTGCATTCACCACGCTCACCACTTGGCTCACACATGTGTATGCAACAGCAGCTACAGGGTTGTATTTAAGGTCACTGACTAAGGGGCAATTCCAACTCTGACAGGACTCTCCAATTTTGTATTTTCTATGGTTTAGTGAGCAGTAAGAGAATCGAGTCTACTCTAGGTGCACCTGTTAAAGACCAGTCCAGGATTCCAACGCTGGGTCCCCTCCCAGGGCAGACTGTCTCTTCTCTGCTGTGTGGAGTGGTACTTTTGCTTTTACTAAACCTTTGCTGTGCAATATGACTGAAAAAGAACAAGCCTAGTCTGTGGACTGTGAGAGACCGCTTCCTCCGAGATGCAGGGTCGCTCCACTGAACAGAGCTCTTCAGAGGGACCCCCTGCTGGAACGGATTGATTTGCGCTGGGTTCATACCCCATACCCTCATCAAGCAGTCTCTGGACCAATGACATAATCTAACCCTGTTACTGGATCACACATCAACCTACTGGGAGAAATGGCTTCTGGAAGTGCACTTTCTAGGGGACTGTGCCAGAGGATGAAGATGTCTGGTGCGTGCGTGATGGAATCACATGGCATGAAAGCAGAAGAGGGAAGTATTTGGGGGAGAGAGGGAACTAGTGAGGCGGGAAGGGGAGGCTGGAGAACAAGTGCATTGATGTGCAGGTGTGAAAGCATCACAGTGAAACCCACCAAAAAACTACACATTGGCCTCCAGTGCACCTTCTAGTGTGTACTGTGTAGCTTCCTCCATGTTTGTGACGTATGATTCATGCAACAGTTCTCCACCGTGTTAAGCTGTTCCCAACATGCTGCAACTGCAGAAGCTGGCAGTTAATGTTTTTGGAAGACCTGGGCACAAGACTGTGGGCTTGGTGAGCACACCGCCAGTGGCTCACACCCCATCTCGTACATGACAAGGTTTTTAGGCTCTGGTGAAGTGCGTTTTCGTGCACGTGAGCATCGGTGGCAAAACCAGTGTCTGTGCAGGCTTCTCACACCACACTGTAAAATTTGAAATAAGGGACAACTTCAAAGTGCCCTCCAAAAACGAGTCTACCATCCTTGGGTCAACAGCTGCCCTACAGCTGCCACAAGGAACCTGATCAAATATAACTCTCATAAAGTAGGTTTTAAAGAACTCAAGTCTGTTAGATACTTGACTCTAAGAACTGCAGCTAAAGGCTTACGATATTTACCAGTAAGAAACCCAAGGCTGGGTGTAGTGCACACCACATCCCAATACTCAGGGCCAAAGCAGGAGACTGGGCAGCATTCAGGGCTAGCCTGGCTACTTAGTGAGTATCAGGCCAGTAAGGGCTACACAGCAAAACCCTGTGGCAAAGAAACAAAATAAGCCCCCAAACCCTCCAAAAAGACAAGACTCCGGACTTCGCTTCTTTTATGTCTCCTTGTGCTCAGGCTGGCACTTACCTCCGAAGACCCACTTGGGGAAGAAATGTGAAGAGTAAATCAAAGAGTATTTCTTCTTTGGCCAAGCAGTAAGAGGGTTAAATCCAGTTTTATTCAATGAGCCTATGAAGTAATTTTACTGTAAGTGGTTAAACACTTTAGAAAATATGTTCCCTAGCAGTAGGGAAAGCCAGGTGTGGTGGCACATGCCTACAGTCACAGCACTTGACAGGCCGAAGCAGAAGGGTCATGAGTTTGAGGCCAGTCTGGGCTATATATAAGACACTGTGACAGACAGACAGAAAACAGGGAGGAGCAGCATCCATCACAAGAAGAGGGAAAAGAGATTGCATCAGCATCGGGCAGCTGAGAGGACGATGCCACACTGACGAGGCCCGCAGAGGACCCGCCTCTCACCTTTTTGGACCTCCAGCAGCGGCAGTACACGGCCTTGTCTCCCAGGTCCTCCATGTCAAAGGCGTGCACCACCTTGGGGTTGTCCTTCTGGATGTGAAGGTTCACCATGGACTTGGTATGATGATCTTTAACATAGAACTTTCTGTAAGCCAGGTATGCGAGGGCAGCTGTCCCAGCAGCAACAGTGACTGCTGCAATCCATTCAACTAGAGCGAGGAAGAGGAACAGAAAACACGGCTGTACAGGAAACCCGGCATAGTATTTTTTTTAATCAATCAATCAATCAATCAATCAATCAATCAACCAACCAACCTACCTACCTACCTACCTACCTACTTACCTACCTACCTACCGTGTGTGCATGAGCACATGCATGTTTCACAGCACATGTGTGGTAGTCAGAGGACAACTTGTAGGAGTTGGTTCTCTCTTTCCACACCATGTGAGTCCTGGGAGGGAATAAATCAGGCCATCAGGCTTCACGGGAGGTGCTATCACCCGCTGAGCCATCTTGCCAGCCTACTAATGAAGGATTTTTAGCATTAACAAAACGAACAGACTGGGGTGGTAGAGCAGGTCTTTGCGCCCACTTTCCACGGCCCTCACTACAGACTTGCATATTTCCTTACTATCGAGTAATGACAGCTAAATTAAGATAAAAGAGCAAGACAAAGACTGTTTCCCCTTCTCCAAATGCTCACGGAGACACTGCCTGAAAACAAACTGCACAACGAGAACTCAGATTACAAAAGGCCAGAAGGTGGTACGTCTTCATTTACCCAAAACTAAGACGACAACTACACATATCACACCTACAAACAGAATATCCAAATAACAAAAGGGACCCACTAAACCACCTCACTCCAACACTGAGCATCTGAGATCTGGCTTGCAGGATTCTAGGTGCAAACGTCACTCCAAATCATGTTCTCATTAAGGAAAACACCAGAACACAAGCGTCTCATAAAGCAATGAACTATATCCTCATTCAGCAAATGCTAAATTCCTATTATTCACCTGGGTGGGGCTAAGTCCTGCATTATCTGTTTGGCCTCAGTCTGAGGTCAGCTGTCTAGTTCTAACATGGAGGGGCTGCAGAAGTTGAATATAGGGGTCAGGATAAGCACAGGGCACTGCTTCCCAGCAGTTCTTGAGCTCTCCAGTGCTGGAAATGAGTTCCCAGACTATCAAATAAAGCCCTAGAGAGATAAGTACAAAAACCACATTCCAAGGCCACATGAGAACCTGTACTGGAGACCTTCAGGGGAGGACCACCTCCTGCATACTCCCCCACCTCTCTTAGGCTCCCACCACACGTTCCTAAGGGATGGGCTCTGTGGATCAGGGACTTTCACCCATGGAAGCACTTTTCCCTGCAAACTGATGCAGATTGCTTTCCTTCCCACATTTCTGCATCTTCTGCTGTGACCTTAAAACAAATGTTAGGCAGTGTTTTGCTTTTCCCAGGGGCTTCAAAGACCAGAAGATCAGCTAAGTCACTTCACAGCTTTGGGTCTTTGCCCCGTCAGGACTTTTATCTTTTGCAGGCTTTTCTCCTCCCTTTCTAAAAACCAACACTGAGGACTGGCCCGAGGCCTCTCCACTGTGGCTGCCTCTGAGTGCGCCTCGGCCCCTACGTGTTCTGTGACCGCACATTCTGGGCACGCTTCTCTGAGCTTCCCTGTGGTTCACGTGGTGACTCTGTGGTGGCTGACGCTAAACTGGGCTGCAGCCACTTCTTCGGTGATGGACAGCCACTCTGCATACAGAAGAGAATAGCCGCAGCGTGGTGGTGCATGGCTCACATTCCTGTGTCCAGGAGGCAGAAGCAGCAGGCTCTGGAGTCTACAGCTCATCTTGGCTACATAATGGGACCCTGACAAAACCCCAATGGCTGAACGGGTGCTGTGCACAGCCCATACTCAGTGTACGCTGACTGTGGTCTTCAGCAATGTCCCCTCCTTAAATAATGAGATTTCCTGAATGCTGTGGGTCTTAGTTCCACCTGAATTTTGTAGATAAATTATTAAGTATTTCCTGCCCTAAGCCCCTGTGCTGGGAACGGCACCCAGGGCTGTGGGCACGTTCTGCATACAAGTGCTCTACCACTGAGCTACACACCCTCTACCTCTGAGATACTTTTTTAATGATACCGACAAACTGCCGAAGTCCTGAGACTCACAGAACTGGCCGCCATGAATCTGCTTGGGGCGCCACCACCCACATCCTTCCACCCTCTTCTGTACCAACTCAACTATAGGGTGACATCAAACACGACAAACCCAACCCACCTCCAAATCCTGGGGAAGAGGTGACAGGGAAACCGGGTAGTGAGGAGCAGCTCTGGCCCTAGTTACCCCACCTCCCCATGGGAACCAAACAGGGCTCCGACAGAGACCCTACGCCCAGAAATGGTCACTAACCACCTTAGCAAACACCACAGCAGCACGTGTGGTGGAAAATACCTTTGGATTTGCTCCAAATGAGTGACAGAGAATCAGAGCTACACAAGGCCTTAGCAAGAGTCTCCCAATTCTACCTTCCTGATCTCATTGGGAACAAATTGTTAAGTGCTCCCAGAAAGAAGAAAAATGTTGCTATTTTATTATCTCATCCCTGAAGCCTGATCGGTTTTACAGGCAAAGAGTGGCAAACAACACTGGCTCCTCCAGGCAAAGGAGGAAAACGGAAGTTCAAAGATACAGATGGTGACAGAGTCAAAAGCCAGCACTAGGATAAGTAACAAGAGAGCACACAATAGCCCGAAGACCACTCAGTGCCTACAGGATCACTACATCAAGGGTTTGTAGCCAGCCGCCTCTTCACTTAGGAACACAGCAATGGTTGCTGGGGTATTCATCTTGAGCTCAATCAAAACTTCAGAGGCAACATGGGGCTTTCTGAGCCCCAACTGTTAAAGACTTCTCTGCTGACCCCTTTCAGATGGAGACTGGAACCGGGACACAGGAGCACGAGCAGTTCCCATCCCTTCTGGTCCATGCTCTCTCCTTTTCTATACACAGTTCTTGAGGTAGGGCTGTTCCGTAGATCCAGGCAAACCTGTTTTCTTCTACACAAACACCTGTAAAGAAAGACTAGGGAAAGGCGCCACTTGGAAACCTGCCTCCTCACCTTTCCCGCTGCCCTGGGTCTGCTGTTGCATGACCTTTGGTTTCCGGTGGGTGTGATCTAAGCCCGCACCTGTCTTTATAACCATTCCTCAAAGTTTCCTTGCTGTGAGGACCACTTTGCTTTAACTTAGAAACCTCACCCTTCTTTTTCTTGAGACCAGTTTATGACCAAAAGACCCCCACCTACCCATTGTCAACTGCCACGGAATGGAATGTTCCTCTCAGGTTGGCAGAGGGGGAGGGGAGCTATGCTGAAACCAGTCCTTCCTGAGCTCTTGATGCCAAGGCAGGCCGGGCCGGGTGCTTTTCCGCAAGATTTGGTGTATGGGTGGCATTCAGGATTAGCTGAACGAGAAGCAACGGGTGGCTACCTCAACTTCAGTCTGTCTCTACCACTGCTGGAGACCTCTTCACCAAATGGCCGCCTTTGCCATCTTCTAAGTCTGTTCTATACCAAAGCATGGGATCTATTGCCTGGGATGCAGAGAACGAAGGCAGCCCATGCATTTTAGGCAGGCACAGGGATGTGAAAACAAGCCCTTTATCCACACCCCCTTTACCCACACCCCCTTTTCCAGCAGTGCCCCCAGGCAAGAGTGGCTCCCAATCCCCTCTCCTTTCTTTAGTTGCTGGTCATAATCTACGACTACCTCCTTGGTATGACTCAGTGAATGTACTGAATCAGTATGCTGGGACTGGAATTGGAAAGCTATGAAGTGTACTCAACAAAATACACAGACAAGAGAGTAAGAACAGACGACTCAGGGTTTGCAAAGGGTGGAAACAAAGCACAAGGCAGACACATAAATCCCTCTTTATAACCTGTGAACAAAACCAAGTATTAGGAAATGGAAGGCTCAGGAAGCCATTTAAAAATATCTGGTGTAGGGCTGGAGAGATGACCCCATGAGTAAGGTGTCTGCTGCCAAGCCTGGAAACCTGCATCTGATGTCTGAAATCCACTTGGTGGAAGGAGAAATCTGATTCCACCAAGTTGTCCTCTGGCCTCCACATGTGCATCATGGCATGTGCCCCCTCCACCACACCCACACCCACACCCACACCCACACGAGAGAGAGCTCGGTGGACCCCAGAACCTGCATAAAAGCTGTTAAGGCTGGGCAGGTGTGTAGCTGCCTATAATCCCAGCACTTGGGATGCAAAGAGTGGGGATACCCAGGGCAAGCTGCTTAGCTAGATGATATAGCATCAGTGAGCTCTGGGCTCAACAAGAGACCCTGCCTCGGTAAATAAACTGGAGAACTCTCAAGGAAGACACTGACCTTAACTTCCGGCCTCCAATGCATGCATACCTGCACACATACACAGAAACATACACACAAACAGAAAACTTGCTTTAGAGGGCAGCGAGTGCTTGGTGGCTAAAAAGCTTGCCAGTGAAGCACGAGGCCTGAGTTCAATGTCTAGCACCCGTGTAGAAATGAAGACTGCAGTGGCATGCATGGGGGTGGTAGAGACAGATGGATCCCTGGGGCTCCACCAGGTCAGCCCACCTAGTCTAATTTGTGAGTCCCAGGCTAGTGAGGGACCTTAGCTCAAAAAGGGTGAGGGGTCCCCAAGGGAGGAACACACACACACACACGCATGCGTGCATACACATACACACACAAAAAAAGTGTTTAGTTTAGCTAGTTTCCTTAATGATGAGGGTAAATTATGAGCGACTAAGCTGAAGAGTATAAAACCTTTCTGTGGGGCTTGTTTTAGAAACATGTAGCCAAATGTGGTGGCACTTGCCTTAACCCAGCATTTGACAGGCAGAAGCATATAGCTGGAGGCCAGCCTGGGTTACATAGTGAGATCATGTCTCAAATAAAATAAAAACAAATGCCGGTGAGAGTTCCAGGGAGCACAGGGTAAGGGCTTGAAGTGAAAGGGTGGAGGAACAGCGCGGGCTCTGTGAGTTTTAGAGGCATTAAGAGCAATGTTGAGTTCAGAAAGGCCATCTATTGGGCAAGAGGAAGAATCACAAGACTGTGCAAGTGGGTCTCAAAGACCACTTACTAGAAAACACAAGCCAATTATAACCGGCTTTGAGAGCTGCTTTGCCACCCTCTCCTTGGGCAGGGCCTTTTCTGTCCTTTCTGCCTCTCCTAACTCCAGTCCTGGTCTAATACCAACTTGTTTTTATGACTCACCTTTCGCCCCTGAATATAAAGGGTTCTGTATGTATACATTTTATTTATTTATTTATTTATTTATTTATTTATTTATTGGTCTTTTTGAAACAGGGTTTCCCTGTAGCCCCAGCTGACCTGGAACTCACTATGTAGACCAGGCTGGCCTCGAACTCACAGAGATCCACCTGCCTCTGCCTCCCAAGTGCTGGGACTACAGGCATGCGGCACCACGCCTGGCTTCTTTTATTTCTGAGACAGGGTCTTGTTGAATAGCCCAGGCTGGCCTCCAACTCTTGATTCTCCTGCCTCTGTTGCAAGAGGACTGAGATTATGTGTTTGCCACTACACTTGGCTGTAAGTCAATTCTTTATTCTTCCAACTAGATTCCAGGAGGAACCTAACTTTTGGGGCTGGAGACATGGCTCACTTGGTAGAGTGCTTGCCTGGTATACAGGAAACTCTTGAGTTCAATCCCTAGCACCAAATAAACTAGACATGGTGGTGCGTGCCTATAATCTTTGCATTCCGGAAGGGGATCAGGAGTTCAAGGTCATCTTCTGGCAGAAGAGACTGAAAATGAAAAGCCTTTTGGCTTCGCCCTGTGATCTTCTTTCTAGGCTTTTCCCATAAAATAAAAATTATTCTACATATCAAAGTTGAACACGTCAAGTTGAAGCTGATAGCTGGCTTCACCAAGGGTTTCCTATAAACAAAAAACCAGTAATGGAGTCACCTTTGAGCTCCCCACAAGTCATACACAAAGCCAAACCCTTACCATTCGGCTGCAGTAAAGCCTGGCCTGTGGGTCCTCACAGGAAGTCTTAAGAGATCTCCCCCTCCCTTTAGCCAACAGCATGCTATCTAAATCAGAGCCCAGGGCCTACTTACACCAGATGCTCCCAGATTTCAAACAAACATATTTTGCAATCTTTGGGTCGCCTCACGTCTGTGCCAACAGTCCTCTTACACAATGAAAACACCTGCAGCATAGGTCATATGAGCATTTTGTTTTACACAATAGACTGAATCCCTAAAACATAGTTTTGACAGGTGTGGTGACACAAACCTAAAATCCCAGCATTGGGGAGGGTGATTCAGGAGGATTTTGAGCGCAAGGACAGCTTGGGCTACATAGGAAAGCCTTGTCTCAAAAAAAACCAAAAGGGAAATATGATTAAAAAATCAAATAAAATTCAAACTCACACAAGTGCCTGTATTTAAATGGGTCCCAAGATTGCTGCCTTTTGAAGTAATTTTTGTGAATTATCTTTTTGCCTTTAGCAACTTAAAAATGTCTGATTGGGGCAGGCAAGGCAGCTCAGCAGGTAAAGGTGCCTGTGGCCATGCCTGACAACCTATGTTGGATCACAGGGACCACAAAGTGGAAAGAGAGAATTAACTCTTGTCCTGACTTCCACATGAGTTATGGCACCAAACAGACTCCCACACACAAATAAATGTAAAAAACCAAAACAAACCTTTCTTCCATCTGCCAAGTTAATTTTGCCAACAAAAGTATAACCTTCCAGGATATGTAGTCTAATTACGAAGTTAGGGTCTAAGTTAGTAGGGACGTGTTACAGAGCACAGTACTATGGACGATCACTGTTTGCTGAATGAATCAACGGGCTTCTTGTAATTAACATCTTTTCACCTCTACTAAACTAAGATTACAGGTGATCAAACCCCGGGGTGTGGCATTTTATACCTGGACAAGGCCTAGCACATAAACAGCATGGCTTGCAGCCAATAGTACCAGCTATGTCACCAGGAAACTTTAGGTAAGTTTCATACATTCTCTCAATTCTTAGTTGGGTTTTTGCAAAATCCAGTTTTCTAAGCGGGGTCCTAGCACAAGGGGCGGACTACTGAGGGAGCAGCATCAGCAGCCTCCTGGGCCACCGCCACCAAGGCCGGTGCAAGGTGCGCCGTTAACTGGGAAAGCCGAAGACCTCGGATTGGGTTTCAACTTGAATAAAACGTCTACAGAACACCTACCATGTGCTCAGCCGCTGCTAGCCTGCCTCCCTGTAGACTCGAGGTGGGGAGGTAGTGCAGGCTTGCCCCCCCGGGGGGTGCGGGTGAAAGACAGGGCTTTGGGGTGCACCATGACAACGTAGCAGGACGACCCAGGACGGTGGTCCAGGCCGAGGATGCCCGGGCGGCCCGCAGCATCCTTCATCCCCGCTCCCGTCCGCCCGCAGCATCCCCCATCTCGCTCCCGTCCGCCGCAGCAGGCCGCCGCCTGCCCTTGTGCGCTTCAAGGTTACGGACGGACCCTGCGGCGAGGGCCGGCCAGGACCGGCTGCGGGCGCGGGCTCACCTCGCACTCCGGAGTTGGGGGTCAGCCCCATGGCGCGGCGGATGCGCAGGCCGCGAGCAGCGCTGGGAACCACGGAGACCACCGCGACCGCGTCCGCCGCGACTCGGGGCACTGCGCAGGCGCCGCGGCCCTGGACGTTCTAGTGCCGCGCAGAGGGCAGGCGCATGCGCGGAGCCTCGGCCAGCCCGGGGGTGGGGGTGGGGGGAATGGTCCGGGTTTGTGTGTAGAGTCCGCGGGAAGGCACAGGGGCGGCGAAGGCGCCTCCGCAGCTGCCCCGAGTGTGGATCCAGGACCGGTTTGAGGCTGTGAGCGTTTCTGGGGACGCAGGCCAGGCGTCCTTATGACCCCGTGCCCGGAAAGGCCTCGGCCGGTTCTTTAGCGCTCTGTCAAGGGAAGGCCCCTCCATAGGACCCCGCAAGGCCCCATCATTGCACCCAGCAAGGTCCCATCATTGCACACAGCAAGGCCCCATCATTGCACCCAGCAAGACCCCATCATTGCACCCAGCAAGGTCCCATCATTGCACACAGCAAGGCCCCATCATTGCACCCAGCAAGGTCCCATCATTGCACACAGCAAGGACCCATCATTGCACCCAGCAAGTCATAGGACCCCGCGGGTCATAGGACCCCACGGTGTCAGAGGAACGGGTCCAGACCCTCTTTGCTTCAGTGGCCTCCACCCCTCGCCTTTGACGTGGCCAGTCATCTACCAGAGTCTGAGGAAGACAAAACCAGCGGGGACTGGCTGGGCCGTGAGCTCAGCCGCAGAGTGCATGAAGGCTGGGGTTCAGGCTCATCACTGCGGTGAATAATAAACGACTTAGTGCTCACCGCCTCCTAACTGCACACTTGGGGAAATGAGTCAGGGGCTGGAGCTGGCCAGGTGGCTCAAGAGTGCCCACGGCTCTCGCAGAGGACCCGGTTGAGGCCCTTCGGGCAGCTCAGAGCCAGCGTGCTCTGGCCAGGAGGCACCTGCAGCACGTGCACGTCCCCCACGGAATTAGAGTACGCGTCTTAAAACTGAGCTGGGGTGCCTGTCCACCGCGGACTGCTACCCGCAGGAGCCGACGTCAGGATTGCGCTGGGCGGGGTCCCCCTGGGCACCACCAGCAGCCTGCAGACCGGATGCCCAGGGCAAGGCCACAGAAGGGCGGAGGGGCTGCCCAGAGAAGGCCTCCCCTCACCTCGGGGCATGCTCATGCAGCGGTGAGGTTCGTCCTGCAGCCTCCGGGCATGCTCAGTGCAGAGATGAGGGTCGGTCCTGCAGCCTCCGGGCATGCTCAGTGCAGAGATGAGGGTCGGTCCTGCAGCCTCCGGGCATGCTCAGTGCAGAGATGAGGGTCGGTCCTGCAGCCTCCGGGCATGCTCAGTGCAGAGATGAGGGTCGGTCCTGCAGCCTCTGGGCATGCTTAGAGCAGAGGTGAGGGTCCATCAGGGAGCCTCTGGGCATGCTCAGTGCAGCAGTGAAGGTCCCGCTTGCAGCCTCCGGGCATGCTCAGCGCAGCAGGGACGGTTCGGTCTGCGGCCTCTGGGCATGCTCAGTGCAGCGCTGAGGGGCCATCAGGGAGCCTCTGGGCATGCTCAGTGCGTCGCTCGCGCAGTCGGAAACGGGCGGTGCCGAGGCGCGGCGCGGGGCGGGGGCGGGAGCAGGGGCGGGGCCGGCGGGGCCTTCAGCCCGGGCACCGCGGCCG